TTTACTGATATTATTAAGCATTCAGTTATCTTATACCCGATTTTATAATGTTTGTTTTTATATAAATCACCTTTGTACCAGCCTATTATATTAAAAAATTTCGACCAGTATATAGTACCAAAAGCATAGTAAATAGTTGTACTCTTATTATAAATATAATTTGTAATAAAATCTATATGACTATCAATATCTAAAATATTAATAAACTCTAGTTTCTAAACACTTAAATAAAAAAAAATAAAAAAATAAATTCCAAAAACCTTATATAATAAAAATTTGAACTTTTATATTAAATTTTTATATATATTATAACTATAATTTCTTTTAATTTTAATAAAGTAATTGGGATTTTCATCACAATATTACAAATTTAAAGAAAATTTTAAAGCCTAATAGATTATATAATATAATGTTTTTTATTAATATTAGAGTTAAAGCCCACTTTGAACCAAAGTTAGTAGTGCTCTCCAATGAGCCGGCTCAATGAACCTTGCTAAAAATTGCTATTGGCTCATTAAGGCTTATTTAGTTTTTATACTATATAATATAGTCACACTATCTAGTAATAGGAGCAATAGTGCAATAAATCCAAGAAACTAGTATAACTGAAAACTCATTTGGGAAGTCCCGAGTTAGAAAGTAATAATGATTTTTGATAGTATCACAAGAGGGCTGAATTAAAACCAGGGCCTGAGATCTGAAAACTGAATAACAGGTTCTAATAGTGGAGAACACACTAGCTGAACTGCTGGGTTCTGTCACATCAGAGGAAAAGGATATATGCTTCAAAAGTAAATACCAAGGGAAGGGTGTCCTTTAGGCACCTAAAGCCTAAGCAAACTAATCTTTCTGAGTTGCTGGCTAGAAGTAAAGGAGAGACCAATAAAGAATCTGGATAATAAAACAGTTTAATTGCGGGTACTAGAGTTGTTGTGAACCTAATAAGGGCAGAAGTAGGTAATAGGTAGCTAATTAGAAAGGTTGTGGCTTGAGATATAGATTGGATCACAGCAGTCTGGGAACTGTAACACTGCAGAAAAGAGACCTGGGATATATAGAAATATATATATACTAGGTTGTTGTAACTCAGTAATGGCAGTACAACAAGTACTAGTTAGTTGCAAAGGTTCAATGGTTAGCCCTGACTCCAAGTGTATGGGTCAAGCTATGGCGTAAAGTTACTAAAGTCTGGGTGAATACATAGGTGGGACATGTACTTTAGCAATGGAGCAGCTGAAATCTGAGGTTATATGATATCTTTAAATATATTGCGCTGTATGTGGGGTGTTGTAGCCAACATCAGTGAGATAACTAAATTGGGCATCTTATAGAGAAAGCTAGCTTATTGTTTAATACAAACTGTAGGTGGCTCAGTTATAGGACTTTAAGTCTAACAAAGCCTACTAACCTTTAGTACAGGCTACCAAAAAAAAAAAATTTTTTATAAAGTTTTTTTGTTAATTTTATTCTTTTTTTACTATTTTATAGCTTTGAAACAGAAATTTTTAATAAAGAATAAGTAAATAATTTGAATTAGTTATTTTGATTCTAAAATATCAACTTACTGATAATTAGATTAATAAATATATATTACTCATTTATATATTTACAGTATATCTATATCTATAATCTATAATTTATAACTATATACTAAAAATATTTGTGTATAACAATAATGTTTAGATTATTAATATAAATAATTTACTTAAATTGTATAATATCAAATCTGTTATTCTGATTTGTTAATAAATTCTTTAAATTTATACAAGAAGTTATTAAATAAAGATATTTTCAAGGCTTAAATAATATTGTAGAGGAGATAATTCTGAGTCAAATAGTGGGTTAGATGACCTAGTAGTTCTTGAGATATCTTGGGTTAAAGGCACAAACATAAGGATTAGCAAAGTTACTTTTATTTTATTTTTTTTTTAATTTGGCAATTCTGCTTTTATTGCATTAGAAGTGCATAATTAAAATACATAGTTTTCAAACAAAAAGCCTGCAATAAACTTAATGTCTTCCACCCTTCTACTCTTCAATAAAGACTCACTCAGCTGCTCATAATTGTGCTCAAGTGCGATTTGCTGCAGCAATAATTCACTCTTTTCTGGCATCTAACTTACTAGATGATTTCCCAAAAAAATCACTGAAAGCTTATTGCTAGCTTTATTAAAATTGCCTTTTTCTTAACATTTTTCCTTCTTCAAAGAGGTATACAACAAATGGAGGTAATAAAACAAAAAATACAAATAAAATAAAAATGACAAAAACAAAAGAGAAAAACAAAAAAGAATATAAAGAAAACAAATACAAAAGGAAATATAAAAAAAAAAATTATAAAGAAAAGAAAACAAAAAGGATAGCAGAAAATTTTGTTTTTTTAGCACTACTGTTATCTGTGCTAGACTGAAAAAAATTATATAACAAATATAATATTTGTATATCTTTAGTGTAAAGTTTCGCCTTATCAAATAAATTTTCCAACTAAATCATGCAAACTCCTAAGTGACATAAGTGGCCAATCTCAGTATTATGTAAAGTAGCACGGTCTATAAACAAAACAAACCAGACATGTGATTGTAGCCTGCCAGAACTGTCCAGATTTGGGAAATGTAAACAATGCTGATCTTTTGGAAAGGGTAAGCTGTTTTGCCCACTTTTGTGAAAAATTTTGAAAGAGCAGTGAGGAGGCAAAGAAAAGAGACAAAACCACTTTGTTTTGTTTAATAAAAGAGTGTATATTTTTTTTACTCAACATACTGAATCCATAAAAAAGCGCTAGTACTCTTCTTATTTTTTCAATAAGTGATAAACTTTGGGCTTGTTGGCAAATAGCATATGAGAACTATTTCTAAACAACAAGTGTCTGGCTCTTGCAGTGAGTAATAAACTCTAAGAAAGTTAGCAGATAGTATATGAGAACTACCTTTAAATAACAACTGTCGAGTTACGGAGCTTAAGGACTACTTCCCAAACTGTTTTTATCTTTATAGATACTTGTATTTTTTTAAGAATTTTGGATTTTTGTGAAAAAAAGTAATTGTCGAGAAGAGTTGAGTATTGCCGCAAAATCACTTTTACATGAAGTATTAATTTTGTTAATTCTTATGTTTAGATTTTTAGTCCCACATATCTTAATAACTACTAGCCCGATTTTGATGATCTAACCACCATTTGACTTAGAATTATCCCCTCTACAACTTTACTTAGAGCTTGAAGATATTTTTACTTAATAACTTCTCGCTTAAACTTAAAGAAACTACAATTGGACCTACTTCGAGTTCAATGTAACCTACTTTGGGATCAAAATATACAAAAAGTAGTTTTTTGTAATTATCTTGACAACCAGCAGTCCAATCTGGATGAATTTTTTTTTAAATAAAAGTTCTTAGTGAGGCACATTCAATAAAAAAGAGTTTATTTAATTCTAAATACTAGATTCTAAAGTATTTAAAAAACAATAAATTTTTAGTTTTAATAAATTAAATTAAAATTAAGCAAAACCAAATTATAATCTATATTAGAGATAAAATTATTTAAATTAATTTGCTTTAAATTTAAATTTTTATTTTATTTTATATTAAATCTTTTCCATATATCGCACAGGTTTATAGCTTAATAATTATAAAAGTTTTACTATATATTTATTTTAGAAAATTACTAACTAAATATGGTATATATAAACACAGGTGATATATAAATTATAAATTGTACTGTATGTATATACATGTAATACATATATATATATTAATAATATAAATTTTGAGTAATATATCACCACTTTTTTTCACGTTGTACATATCCTTTATACTGCACTTTTCTTTTATCTTACACTTTACCTTATGCTTTACCTTATGCTTTACCTTACTCTTTACCTTACGCTTTACCTTACGCTTTACCTCCTGTTGTCTACTCTTTCTTTTACTCTATTCTGCACTCTTCTTGTTGTTGGGTATTCTTCTTGCTTTCTACGCTTTTTTTTTTCCTGCTACTGTGCTCTTCTTTTTGTCTGCATTCTTCATGATCTGAAATCTGAACTATGTATAGTATGTACCTAAACTTCTAGCTATATGAATACTAGTGCTTAAACTCTAAACTTTGAAATTCACTAAATGTTTGCTTTCTACGCTCTTTTTTCTCTTCTATATTCTTTGTGATCTAGACATCTTAACTGTGTATAGTATGTATTTAAACTTTTAGCCATATAAATACTAGTGCTTAAACTCTAAACTTTGAAATTCACTAAATGTTTGCTTTCTACGCTCTTTTTTCTCTTTTACATTTTTCGTGATTTAAATATCTTAACTGTGTATAGTATGTATCTAAACTTCTAGTCATATGAATACTAGTGCTTAAACTCTAAACTTTGAAATTCACTAAATATTGCTTTCTATACTCTTTTTCTCCTTCTGTATTCTTTATGATTTAGACATCTAAACTGTGTATATTATTTATCTAAACTTCTAGCCATGTGAATTCTAGTGCTTAAACTCTAAACTTTGAAATTCACTAAATATTTGCTTTCTACACTCTTTTTCCTCTTCTACATTCTTCATGATTTAGATATCTGAACTGTATATAGTATGTATCTAAACTTCTAGCCATATGAATACTAGTGCTTAAACTCTAAACTTTGAACTTCACTAAATGCTTAACTTAAACTTTAACTTTTAGACCTTTTTATATTAGTACCAAGCTTTCTAAACAATTAAGTAGGAAAGTAAAAATAAATTTCTATATCATACTAGTTTACCTTACAGAACCTACATTTACAATAAGTAAGTAGAACTTATATATGCTATGAATAGGCGAAGCTTACATGCTACAACTAAGCAAAACTTATATGCAGCAACCAAGTGAAACATATATGCAAGAGCTAGATAAAACTTATATACAACAACCGGGTAAAACTTATATACAACAACCAGGTACAAATTATATACAACAAGTAGATGAAACTTATATGCAACAACTGGGTGGTGAAGCTTACGTACAACAAGTGGGCAATGAAGCTTATATGCAACAAGTAGGCTATGAAGCTTATATATAACAAGTAGGCGACAAAGCTTATATACAACAAGTAGACGACGAAGCTTATATGCAATATCTTTTTCAACCAACTGATGAATCTTTTTATGAACAACTTATGAATAATGAAAATAATGTAACTATAATCTTTAGAATATTCTTTTTAGTATATATTGTTTTAACTAATCATTGATTATACTTTTGTTTGTTATTCTTAGCCTTTTAATTTACCTTATTTATCTTCAGATGAATATAGCTTAAATGATATTAGACAATTGTTTAATGATTCTGATGAAATTGAACAATTGTCTAATAATTCTGATAAAATTGAACAAATGTCTAATAATTCTGATAATACTAACTTAGAAAATAACAATTTATCTAATAATTTGGAGTTAATAGTTGATCGCACTTATTCAAACTGGGTTGAGTTTGAACATTGGTTTAAAATATTTGTATTAAATAAAGGGTTTAGTTACAAGATACGAAATAGTGAAAAAGAAAATGGTATTACATGTTACGTTACTTATGAATGTATAAAATTTGGAAAGCATGTTCCCAAAGTACTATCTGATCCAACCAAAAGATATAATACATTATCTCAAAAAACACAGTGCCTCTGGAGACTCAACGTTATATATCCTAAAATGCTTGGTTTAGTTAAAATTAGTTTATTTAATGATAAACATAACTAGTGAAATAGCACCTTAATTTCATAAATTGACTGCAAGTATGATGGTAAATATTAAAAAATATGTAATTTAGGAACATATAGATTTTGGGTCGATTTACTCTTTACTAAAGCATGATTACCCTGAACACCACATATATAAAAAGGCTTTATATAATGCAGTGTATTAAATTCATCGTAAAAACAATCCTGGTGACTTAGATGCCTCAAAAATGCTTCATACCTTATTAGATTGGAAGGAGTCGGACTCTCTTTGGATTGTTAAGCCTCAATTAGAACCTGTATCAAGAAAATTAATTTCTCTTTTATGGATGTCTCCTACCCAAAGAGAATTATATAAGAATTTTTCTAATGTTGTAATATTGGATACAACTTCTAATACTAACCAATTCCAAATGGTGTTTTTTGTTATAGCTGTTATTAACAATTATTTTAAAACTAGAATTGTTGCTTCAGTGGTTATTGATGATGAGACATTAGATACGTTTTTGTGAATATTTAATACGATATTTAATAAAACAGGTATTACACCTAGGACAATATTTATCAACTCTGATCCAGCACTAATTAGTGCAATTAAAGAAGTATATCCAAGCACAAATTACTTACTGTATATTTTTCATATTGATTTAAACATTCATAAGAAACTCAAAAGCAAATTAAGTGCACGTTTTAATGAATTTTATAACAAATTTTATGTTTGTCGAAATTCTTTGTGTGAAGATTTATTTAAGATCAGATGGAACTATTTGATTATTGAATATCCTGAAATAAGTAACTATATATTAGATATATTATATATTAATAAAGTATCATAGGCAATTCCATGGATAAGAAATCAATTCATAGCTAGAATACAAAGTATTCAATAAATTGAGTCTGTTAATAAGAATATACACAGTAAAGTAGATTGTGCTACTTCTTTATGTAATTTATTAACTAGCATTAATGAATCTGTTAAAGGTGAAGAATATTATAAAAGTTTTGAAGTTGAATGTAATACTATACCTGTTAGTGGGTTACCAAATTTAGTACTAGATTTTTGGACAGATAGATAATATATTAAAAAAGTATTTAATACCTGTTATACTTGGGAAGCAACGATTACAAATGAACCAATCGGTATGCTATGATGTTATTCAGGTTGAAGAATGGCAAAGATTAATTGAGATATGAAAAAAATAGAATAGTTTATTTTTATTGTTAGTAGTATATTATTTAATATAAATAATTTTAGATAGATATAGATGATAAGGAGTTTGATAATAGGCTTCGAGAACAAGAAAATAATACACGCTTAATTCTTTTTAGATTATTGATTAAAAAAGTATCACATGAAATGATTAGAGAAGTATGGCATGTACGTTCTATTGGAACATCAAGTGTTAGACACTATGTAGTATTACTTAACGAAGGTACACATTTGTGTACTTGTTTACTTTTAGTTAATTATGCTGTCATTTCTTTTGTGTTGGTACTTATTCTCAGTATACTATATTTTATATAGCTTTTATTCCATCACAATGGTATTTGGATTATAATATTATTTAAGAAATGCTTTTTTAACAAAATTTGCCAATTTCATTATGTGAAACAGTACAACAAAATAATTATCTTAGAACAAGATCTATTATATTTCAGCATTTTTTTCAAATCGGTCTGCATTGTTTACTTTTTAGCCAACAACAAGATCTGTATATGCGGAACTTTCTGGATTATCAAAGAAAGCTATTGATATCACTATCAAGACTGAATCATATCATGAGTTAATGGATATGTTTAAAGTGTTTGTTTATGATATTCAAAATAAAAATAATGATAATTAACAAGGTGAAAATACCATTATAAATCCCACGATTTCTAAACATAGAGGTCGACCTCCAAACAGGTTAAAAAGTAGCATTGAACTAAACTATAATAGTGGCAAAGATAAACAAATATTAAAAGATAGTACACAGACTAATATATTGAATAACATAGATAATAATTATGATAGAGAAAATGATGCAGATTATATAACAGGTAGAAAATGCAGGAAATGTAGAAAACCTGGACATTATGCAAAGACTTGTTCAAATAATTAGTGATTTATAGTTATAGTTAAAGTAGTTTGAGCATTATCAATTAAGTTTAAGTAGTTTGAGCATTATCAATTAGTTAAAGCAGTTTAAGTATTATTAATTAGTTAAAGTAGTTTGAGCATTATCAATTGATAATAATTTTTTTTTTTATAGTGCTTATATATTCAGATATAACTTAAGGTTAAACTAACTACAGTATGATTGAACTATTCTATATACATTTTCTATATTATGCTTAAAAATAGTATCTGTTGAAATCGCAAACTTTAAATACCTGTATATATATCAAGCAGGTTTAGTTTTAAGTATGATATTTTAAGTATTTTTACTTAGAGTTTAGAACTGGTTTTATTTTTCATATGCTAAACCCAATTAAAACTGGGTTTAACATGTGAAAAATAAAACCAGTTCCAAACTTTATCTCTACTTATCATTATAGTCTTTAAATTCATACTTAAAAGTCGTCAAATTAAAACCTACAACTAAACATGATAAAATTTTCAGCTTTAGACTTTAATTTGGCAATACTAATCTATATATTTAAGAATCTAACTATTGTTACAGAGTAGTAGCCTTCTTAATTTACTCTATAACGACGACACGGCACAGGGAATCCTTTCGTAGGTATA